TGACTTAGAAAAACTCAAACAATAACCTATCTCTTTGAAGTTTGCCGGTCTTCATAACCAGTCCCCTCCAACTAACTATGGTTGACTCTTTCTGTGGACTTACAATTACAGGCTGGCCAATCAGAATCCTTGCTTCCCACAGCTTGTAAAATTCAAGGTTGAATGAAGCAGAAAGGTTTTCCACTGATTTTTTTTTTTTTTAATTTAACAGCTTTAACAGTTGATACATCTTAATTTTTGTGACATTATTATAGGTAATCGAGCAATTGATCTTACATGTAACTTCAGTGGAAGATAAGATCTTTCAATTTTGACGTGCATTTTCTTGTCTGCAGGAAACAACGCACTTCGAGAGTTTCTAACTTCTATCGAGCCGTAAAAAACAAACCCAGCGTTGAATTGAAAACTGCCTGGAAAAGTTCCCGTGAAATCATCAGTGAATGGATTAAAGATAGCTCTGAATCAAAAGAAATTTGTTCATACCAAGCGTCAAAACAAACAACCGATTGGAAGCTGGCAATATCGAGTCGTGTACGCACCTCCAGAGTTAACGTTTCTGATTTCTATCGAGCCCTCCGTACAGTTGATTTAAACAAAACTCAACGTCGTCTTCAGAACTGTTACTCTGTTGTTACTTTGAATTGAACGATAATTAACTCCAGATCAAAAGAAGTTCAACCGAGGGACAAAACAATCGATTTAACTAAGCCAACCGATTTACAAATGTAGAGTCGCCTACCGCGTCTGGAGTCGCAACTCAAAAATTTCTCTGTCTCCAAAAGTAAACCAGCAAGATTGACACGTACAGGAAAAATTAATCGAGCAATAAGTTCTTTGTCACTTCGACTCGAAACTCGAACCACTCGACTCGATACTCGAACGACTCGACTCGAAACTCGATGGACTCGACTCGATACTCGAAGTTTTCGAGTTTCGAGGATCAAGGATCAAGTCGAGTTGTTCGAGTTTCGAGTGACTGTCAACTTACATTTGACCAGTACTGTATGTACTGCATGCACATACAAGAGATTAACCACTCTAACTTACACTACAAGTTAGTAAATGTAAGTGCGTATTAACGACCATGTATTTACATGTATCTTACCAAAAGTAAGATGCAGCATCTTATTCACAAGATCATCACACTGTTTCTTCCAGCTGTACTTCACTGCATACTTTTCACAAAGATTTTTAGCATCTTCAAGTCGCACCTCTCTGTCTTTTTGACGGACAATTTTGATAGCCTTGGCCCATTCTTTAGGATCTTCTGAATCCACTACATGAGACAAACCTGTGGGAACTGTCTTCAAAGCATCTCCAAGTCCAGAGTTAACACTCACAAGAACAGGAAGACCAGCAGATAGAGCTTCTAGAGCAGTCAAGCCAAAGCCTTCAGTCCTTGA